CTATACATTCGGTGCGTGGTCTGGCTTCGACATGTCGTTCCGTGCAAGAGCTGCACGCAGCAAATCTAGCCTTGCCACGTCAGATCCGGAACTCTGGTCGGAGTGGTTTACAAACTCCATCCTGCCTCCCTGCCGTCACTGCAACCGGCAAGGTCATTTAGCAGTTCGCTGCCCCCGCGCCCGTAGCCTAGCTTCACTGTCTGACGGGCCAGCAGCCAAACGCCCCTTTCCGGCACAGCGGTCAGGGGCTACCGCTCAGCCAAACGCCCCAGCTGTCTGCCGCGACTACAACCAAGGCCGCTGCCAACGCGCAGCCTGTCGCTACGGCCACCAGTGCAGCACATGCTTTGGCAGCCACCCCGCCAAGTCATGCCCAGGAAAGCCAGCCGCCGCCAGCCGCGACCAATAGCTCGCAGTTGCCCAGCTTGGAGACTCGGTCACTCCAGTCACTCACTGGTAACTCTACACTCACCCAGGCCAATAGCACTCACACACTCTGCCCAGCTGCTCACATCTCTCCTACACGCACCCTCGCTCACGAGCCAATCCATTTGCACACGCCTGTAACCCCCATTAACGTTTCTTACCTGCATGACGCTTTGTGTAAGCATCCTGATCCGGCTTTTGCCTCATTCGTAATACATTCTTTGTCTTATGGGTTCGATGTTGGGTTTGCGGGTCCCCGTACCTCCCGAGTCTCTCGTAATCTCAAATCAGCGATTGAGCACCCTGACATTGTCGATGCTGCTATCGGTCGTGAAATTGCCGCAGGTCGCATGGCCGGTCCCTACCAAGAGCCCCCCTTCCCACTTACACAGGTCTCCGGTTTGGGTGTGGTTCCCAAGAAGTCACGGTCGGTGCAAAAATGGCGCTTGATTATGCATCTGTCAGCACCACAGGGCCACTCAGTGAACGATGGTATCCCTGTCGACAAATTCTCTGTACAGTACTGTTCGGTCGACGACGGCGTAAATCTCGCACGGTCCCTAGGCCGCGGCTGCCATCTGTGGAAGGTCGACCTCCAAGACGCATTTCGCATTTGTCCAGTACGGAAAGAGGACTGGGAACTATTATGCCTGTTCTGGCGCGGGCAATATTACGTAGACAAATGCCTACCCTTCGGCCTTCGCTCATCACCATCGCTGTTTAACAAAGTCGCAGATGCCCTCCAGTGGGTCATGTCGCACAACTTCGACGTAGCCCCAGTCATCCACTACTTAGACGACTACCTTGGTGGAGCGACGGACCCTATCGGCGCCCAGCACCAGCTTGACCGTGCCCTGGTAGCCTGCCACGACTTAGGCTTCCCGGTCAATCCAAAAAAGGTGGAAGGCCCTAATACAACCCTGACATTCCTCGGTGTCATGCTGGACACAGAGCGCTTCGAAATCCGCCTCACATCCGACAAGTTAGAAGACCTTCTCATTGCCCTCAAGGCTTGGCAACATACCCGCCCTACCGCCCGCAAGTCTGAATTGTTGTCCCTGATAGGCCACCTCAGCTTTGCCTGCAAGGCGGTCCCTGCGGGCCGCATGTCTCTGCGCCGCCTCATTGATCTCAGCACGACGGTCCCGAATCCAAATGATTACATCAGAATCACAGAAGACGCCAAAGCAGACATCCAGTGGTGGCTTGACTTCCTCCCTGCCTGGAATGGCGTCGCCTTCTTCCTAGAACCCACGTGGTCAGCCGCCGCCGATATGGACCTCTACACAGACGCATCTAGAGCCATCGGCTATGGTGCTTTCTTCGCCGGCCGGTGGCTCCAACACCGGTGGCAGAGGCACCAATCCCAGAGATCCATCGCGTGGATGGAGCTCTTTGCCATCGTGGCCGCAGCATCCACATGGGCACCGCAGCTGCATCTGAAGCGCATCCGCTTCCACTGCGACAACCGTAGCGTATGCGACATCTGGCTCCGCTCACGCACAAAGTGCCCCGACTTAATGGCGCTTGTACGCACTTTGTTTGCCATTGCTGCCCGACACAACTTTCACGTCATAGTCTCCCACATCCCCGGCACTGACAATGCGATTGCTGACTCTCTGTCTCGGTTTCAGATGGCCCGATTTCGCCGACTGGCACCCACAGCAGACGACACGCCATCTCCGGTGCCCGAGAGCACCTACTCCCTCTGATGTTGGAGGGTCAGGCCTACCAGTGGCTAGGCCTGTCAGCATCCACACGTGCCACATACGCGACAGCCTGGAAACGACTGCACCAATTCTGCCAACTAGTCGGCACCAAGGTGATTACAGACACCATCATGCTGGAGTTTGTAGCCTACCTGGCGCGTCAACATGCCGCGTCAACCGTCCGCTTGTATGTGTCGGCGATCCGGGCAATTGCCAAAGAAAACGGCAAAGATCTCTCGTCGCGAAGAGTGGACCTCGCAGTTCAAGGAGTGGCACGTGCACAGGCCAACCGAACTAAAAACGCCAGCAAGCCAATCCTCCTGCCCCACATGGCAGCTATGCGCATTGCCCTGATACGGTCTAACCTCAACGCGACCGACCGAGCAATGGTATGGGCAGCTATTTGCCTGGGCTTCTTTGCGTGTCTCCGGGCAAGTGAATACACTTCCACAACCGCCACAACCATGTCAGATGGTGGCCTCCGAACAGAAGACCTCTCCATCACGCCGCAGGCCATACAGGTCACAATCAAGAAGTCCAAGACCGACCAACTCGGCAAGGGTCACTCCGTCCGGCTCACAACCACCAACTCAACGGTTTGCCCGGTCAGAGCCATGCATACCTATCTCTCCAGACGCCCCAACCTGCCCAATAGACCACTGTTTGTTGACAGCTGTGGCAAGTTCCTAACTGCACAAAGACTCACACGTCTAATCCGTCAGCTCCTGAGCAGCGCAGGGTACCCACCTATCCAGTATTCACTGCACGGCCTCAGAGCCGGAGCCGCAACCACAGGAGCTATGAGCGGCTTCACCGAATCTGAGATCATGAAACTCGGCAGATGGCGAAGTGCCTGCTACAAGAACTATGTTCGCTGTGGAAAGTAACTGTTCACTGTCCGCAGGCGCGCAAGCGCGCACAGCCACACCCACATACACGCACCCGCAGACACATACACACACACGCACACACCCCCACGCATGCACACACACACGCATGCACGCGTACACGCACCCGCAGTCTGACACCGCACAAGCATGCATGCAGGTACACGCGCTGCGCACACGCTGGTACGCCCATTCGCGGACGTATGCACTCACGTTCTAGCACTGACTGTGCACGCACGCCCCTGATACTTATGATAAGTTATCTGCACCACTCAGTTGCTGTGCTATAGCTCCCACCTATGGCATCATGCCACCCATTGCTTTTGCCGACTACATGCGATTCAAACCCTTATCGGTGTCACTAAGGGAAACAAACATACGAATGGCACGCATTTGAACTACGTACATGTAGCTGAAGCGCTTGAATACCACACTAAGGTCATTCGGCTGACCAACGCAGAATTTGGGGGCATTCGGCGGCTTGGTCTGATTCCTAGCTTGTTGGTAACCGGCTTGAGGTTTCCAAGGTTGCTATGACAACGTGCAGTCATGCGCAGGGCCACCCAACATGCATTGGGGGGGGGGGGCAGGAAATACAGAAACGCGTTGCTAGGCAACAGCAAAAGCGCTCAGCGAGTATCACGCTACTCATGCAGCACGCACGTTGGCTTAGGGTATCACGCTACCCTCGCGCTGCGGGGTACCACATTGCCCCTCGCTGGAATCAGACCCGCGCCCCGGATACCTTGCGCTGGCCTCCTGACGGCCAAACTCAACCAACTTGTGCGCTGTGACTGGGGTTGTGCATGCATTAGCAACATAATGTGGCCCAGGTCGGCAGACTTTCAATTAGCCAAGCGAGCTACTCAGGCCAGGGTGCATGATCACTATTCGCAGCACTTATCGTCCATGCAGCAGTCGGGTTAACAGTAGAGCTGAGATGTCGTTCGACCCTGGCACGACAGACAGTTAGCAGGCTAGAACCCATTCGGAAATGCAAACAAATATATCAAAAGGCATAAGGTTACGACTGCTGCAGGCAACCGCGTTTTCCGTTGCCAGTTACGGCTCGGAGACATGGGCACTAAAAAAGAGAGAGGAAGACAGCGTGTAGGCGTTTGAAATGTTGTGATATCGCCGGTTAGTGAGAATGAAATGTACTGAACAGATAACAAATATGGATATCCTGGAGGAATTGGGCGATGGAGAGACCAATGTTAGCGGATAGAATCTACGGCAGGAGTCTCCGTTATTATGGACATGTCGCGAAAGGATGTAGCCTGGAAAACGATTAAGTGGAGGGCTTGGTGTCGGCAACAAGGAAGAGAGGGCGATCAGCTGTCAAATGAACGGGTCAGCGGAAAGAATGCAAATAGAGCAGACAAGATATTACCGTGGAGGTGAACCGCTGGACAGAGACAAGGACGGGATGGCGTGACATTGTTGCCAAAGCAACCCGAGTGGGTTAATGATGATGATGACGATAATTATCAGCAAAAGTAGAACCCCTGACAGATTCTAACTAAACGTCTCGGGTTTGTTACGGTCTAGTTTCGTTTGAATCAAGTTCGAATTCTGATGGTGACAAGGAACGTGCTCTTCTAACGAGTTCCCTGTTTAACTGTCCAGACTTTTTAATGTGCATATTTTTTTTGTTTAAGACAGGCGGATAGTTCGATAAACTTACAATTAAATTTTTGTTGCAGTTAGTAGCATGAATTACAGGACGATTGAGTCAGTACTAGTATTAGAACCCGAGGATTTCAATGTGGAACCTGCATCTTTCACGTGTAATCAGTCAAATTTTCATACTCAGTCTCCGTAGCCATGATGGCTTCTGCGACATGCAGATATGGTGTCGCTGATTCCCCGGGAATCGGATCTTCCTATGCCACGATCCCCCATTCCACTTTGACAAGTCTGTTGAAAGGCACATATGGATGTGCCTGTCCAAGAGACAACAAGGTGGTGATCTGCATGGACAGTCTGATCTTTGTGTACTCACCGATGTCATTCTGGAAAGTGTTTCTCTTGTCAATGCTTGTAAAGATGATAACAGTGTGGTCAGCGGTAGAAAGACAAGTACCGTTCACCAATGTCAAGATTTTAACCACTGGCTCTGTCACCAGCGTTCATCTTACAGACATTCATACAGGCCGTACAATCCCCCTAGCACTCTGCTACGAGGCATTCACTAGCACAGTGATTCACATGCTGCGTACAGGTACAGGCTATGCTAGTAAAGTCCATACAAAACTACGCAACACGCTCTAAAATTGATCATAAAGAGACAGTCACTGACTTTGCTGAACATAAGGTGGACGACTGAAAGACAAATAGAGAGACGCAGAGAGACAGAGAGAGGGAGAAAGAGAAAAGACAGAGAGGAAGAGGGAGAAACAGAGGAAGAGTTCGCCAACACTCCTTGCTACACCATGGCTAAATTCCCTGTGGGATTTGCTACTATTGCTGCTGTTGTTCTCTTGAACCATTGCTGTCACGTGACTGGTAAGTACTTCAAAATAATAATAGTTTGTTTCCGAACGGAAAGCGAGAGAAATAATCTGCACAAGCATGCGTTTTTATGCAATGGCGTTTACCTCATTCTCATGCATATATGGTGCGTCCATGGAGCTATGAAGCCCAGACTTCTGGTCGTCCGAGCTTATTGTGCCCCACCACCACACTCCATTATTCACCGCAGTGTCTGGAGATATGTGGATTTTGTAGAGAGAGAAAATGCTGTGGTAGGTCACACTGCATGCCATCGTTACCCCAGGCCTCCACGATTTGTTAGCTTTCTTACTTGCTGGCTAGATTTTGTAAGATTTGTGTGGTTGCAGACTTATTCGAATCATAATTACTGAGTACCCTCCTTATCGGGCATTGGCCATAGTGGAAATACGAGGAAGAATCTGCAATCCTGTAAGAATTGGAGACATTGGCAACATTGTAAAGTAGAATCAGTTATTGATATCCATTCCCAGCACAGTTCAGCGTTAATACAGTGCTCTATTTCCATGCGTTGCACACGTGATCACCGTGTCACGTGTGCACTGTCTGTACAGGTACTGGTGATAGCTGTATGGTGAGGAGAATGCTGAAGGCAGGTATTGCACAGAGCAAAGCACTGCAGTACGAGCAACGTGCTCTTCTGGTTACGATGTCGGAGAATATGATAAGTAGCACTGACGTCGGTGTTCTGAAGTTTGTCTTGCAGTCTACAAGAGCTGATGCTCAAGCAATTCAGAAATGTAAACGTGAGTTATGGTGTGCGACATTGAGCTCGGATAGTGAGTCAATGAAATCATGGATAAAAGGAAGAACAAGGAATGTCGTGGCACTCTCTGTTGTGTGTGTACGTGCGTTCGCATGTGTATGCGTGTGCGTGTGTGTCCTTGTCTGTTGACTGAGTGCGTGTGTGTATTTTTGTGTGCTTGTGCGTGTTTTTATGGATGTGCATTTGTAAGGGCCGTTTCACACGAGGTACAAAATCGCGTACATGTCACGTTTCCGGTTATGTTCCCTAGGAGATTGAGCACTTTTGGCGCGAAATGTGAAACGCATCGTGTACGTTTTCAGCAAGACCAGGAGGGGTGTAGAAAGCAGGTTATACCCAGCGTTCTACTGACAAACTTCGTTTTCCTTGCATTGTGATCTGTCGTAGTGTTTGCTTTTTTTGCTTCTGTTTGCTTCATTGCTGGTTGCTGGTTGTTCCTTCCGTTTCGTGCAATGCCTCGCCAAATATTCTCTGATGACCTGGAGGCTAGACTTATTGAGTTGTGGGCCGACTATCAAAAGTCAAAAAGTGGCCAGATGGTGAAGTGTATTGTGAGGGAAAGGGAGATCGCCGAGAAACTCAATGCTGCGTTCCGCTCAGGATGGTTGAATCCAGAGAAAAACTTGAAATTACACTTTGAACAAGCGAGGGCAATGCAGTCCTTCTACGCCTCGCCATCCTTTGCAACCTCTCTCGTCCGTTCATCTTTCTCTCCTTGTGGCGATCAAAGAAAACGAGAATCAGGGAGAGAACATCTCCTTGCAAACTAATAATAATTATCATTATTTTGTGTTCAAAACTCCCGCGTTCGCGTGCGGATTCCGTATTTTACGACTTCTGTGCGAGGCAGGTCAAAGCTGCCATGGCAACTGCTGCTTGAAAAGCATGTTGCGACACTCGTGTGAAATCACGCGCTGTGTACTGTGCCTAGAACGCCCATTCGTGAAAAGCCATGTATACCTCGTGTGAAACGGTCCTTAGCACGCTTATGCGTATGGTTATGTACCTGTGTCTGTTTCCGTTTGCGGGTAATATTCTCATAGTTGCTTGGGAACCGAGGCTTTCCGCATTAGACCTTTCATTGCTTCAAACCGAAACATTTCTTCAATTGTGTGAAAATTAAATAAAATCATAAATTTGCAAGTCCCTCAATTCCAATGCTCCAATTCATTTACATTTACGTTTTCTGTTTCACCTTGATACTAGGCCAGGCCCGAAAATTAATTTGGAGAACATTTCAAATAATGTATGGAGCAAAGAGCCCGTGTTTCAGTATTGAAGTTGAGGATCCCTGGTATGCAAATGTCTGCAATGGAGTCTGCGAGTACTTAGAAAAGCAAATCAACTGTCCTCAAGACCAATATCACATGAACGACTCCACGGATCAAAATGTACTAGTCATTGACTCCACGGATCCATAATTCTGTACTTGTCAATGACTCATGCCATGATTGTCCTCTTCTGATTTGGGCTATAATTATATGGCCTTCTTGTTCCCAGTTCAACAATCCGATGTTTGCAAGACCTACTCGCCCTGTGTCAATGGTGGTCAGTGTCAGTTGTCGCTGTCCAATACGTCATACGTATGCAAGCGTCATCCTGACTTCACTGGCGACTACTGTCAGACGCGTAAGTGCAAATTACTCTTTCATGCTATGCGTGGCTCATTCAAATTTATTCGTTGTTCAAATGCCTATTCGCCTTTCTCATGACAGGTGAAGATAGCTTATAACACGATTAATAATAACTTAGATCCGTGGTTCGAAATGTGGGTTTCTCCCCCCAAGGTGTTGGCATATCTCAATGCTTGTGAAAAGTGCTTTGACTAGTGTAAAACCGGAAAGTTTCACGATCAAAATGTTTAGCGTTTTTGTAGTTTTTGGCATGATAACGTGCAGAAAGTTTAACGATGGCTCTCTGGTCACCCATCTGTATGCGCATCTTCACACAGACATCTCGCGATAACGTTTCTGCAAAGAACGAAGAAAACTTGTCGTTAAAACTTTCCGGTTTTACAGTAGTTTTGTATCTCTTAACTCTCACCGTTTCGCACTAAATTTGCACTTCTGTACTTCACTGTATTGCGAGTATTTATTTTTTGATCATCTAGCTTTGCGGGACGATTCTGTATATCATCAGCACAGCTATTAACTGGCATTGTGGATAGCGCCTACCCAGTCCAATGTACCTTTTTCTTTCAACATGATTTGTAGTTTTGTGTTCTCTTTAAAAAGAAAGGGAAAAAGATGGCAATGTGCAAGTTAAAGGATACCAAAACCTTAGCCAACGGTGTGCGTGTGTCTTCAATGCGCAACTCGCCTTGCCTATTGTTGTTGTTGTTGAATTTTATTTAAAGTCGCGAAACAAACAGGCGATGACGCCTCCTTATATACAATCATGTGAGCGACATGACAAATTTACTACTTGAGTAATAATCGTAATGGGAAGGGGAGGAGAAAAATACTGCCTATCTCAAGTATAATCTCTTCACCAGAGAGATTATGGGGCTGAGCGGAAACCTACCTCCACTTCAGTTGTCTGACCAGTACAGGACAACTTTAGCACTGTGTCGCTCCAGATAGCTGGAACCTATTTTGCGGAGAGGGGACATTATGCATTTAATAGCACTATGACGAAGAGGTTGGTGCGACTCCGCTGATACTTGGGAATTGTGTGTCGTCCCCTACGAAGTACCTCGCTTTTTGTCCTGCAGATTTGAATTGGCACTTGACTGACTCACGACTGCCATCCAGAACACATGAGAAGTTGAGGTTACGCTTGTGTGTATTTTGCCCGCACAAGAGGCATAGGTACGCTGAAAGGGAGAAGTCCATCGAACCTTCCAATATACTACACACGCCATACACAATTCCTAACTCTGGTCGTTTGTAATCATTGTTTCTTTTCGGTGCAGCGCATCCTGCTCCGTTAGATGAGTTCAGGAGTCTACAGAATGAAGTTAAAGAGCTACGAAAGCAACTGGCAGACACTCAAAGCAGAACTCAGGTAATTGAGTAGGTGATGGAGTAATGCATTCAACACTCTTGTGTACTGTCATTGCTGGCTGACCAGAGTGGAGAGCTGAGAGAGAGAGAGAGAGAGAGAGAGAGAGAGAGAGAGAGAGAGAGAGAGAGAGAGAGAGAGAGAGAGAGGGAGAGAGAGACTTAGGGAGAGAAAGAGAGCAGCACAGACGGAAGGGAGAGAATGATAGAGACAGAGAGAGACATACACAGAGAGTAAGAGTGATGGATAGAGAGACGAAACGAGAGAGAGAAAGAGAGAGGCCGACGGGCGAAGTTGGGGTCAACGGTTAAATGCTAACCATGTCGACTAACGCTGTCAAACGTATGACCTAGATAGGTTAGTGCATGACAGGGAGGGCCTTATGGCTTGTTTGTACCCTTCAGGTTAGCCTTCGGGCTTATGGCCCTTAGGCTAACCTGTCGGACACTAACATGCCATGAGGCCCTCCCTGCCATGCACTAACCTATAATTACAAAAAAACCTTCGACTAACGACCATCCCTTGGGGGCCAGAGAAAGCGGTCTTTAGTGGCAGGTGGTCCTTAGTTAGAGGTTTGCACCACACAACCATTATAGGAATGTGAGACCGTCCGTGCCTGGCGAAGTCGTCTGTAGTACCAGGCTGGTCGCTAGTCACGGTGGTCTTTGGTTACAATTTTTGCTATATGTAAATTGTAGTTAATTTGGTATTCAGGAAAAGCTCCGTTTTTCGACTCAGAAAGGAGACAAATAAAAACACCTTGGAGATGGCATTCAGTTGACACCAACTTTGTGAATTTGTCTCTTTGTCCAATTGCAGTATGACGTCACTGGTTGTAACCGGAGAAGCGTTGGTTACAAGTACCAAAGTCTTGTACGCGGCAACGAAATTAATGAAGGCCGTATCGCAACACTGTCGTTCAGAAAGAAGCATAACAACACTGCACTCAAGTTATCCTATTCTGGTACTATAAGCACATGGGGAGCAGGTACAGCTGCACGGTGGTACTTCAAGATCGACAACAGGGAGTGCGTTAGACCCACCAAGATTGATATAGCCATGTACCAGAGCAGTGCCGACGTCACCCACATCCCAGCCGTACTAACTGGTATCTGTGAGTCGACGCACAGCACTGGAGCTAACATTGCAGCTGGAGATCACACCATCACTGTACATGTCGGGGGGAACGTTGAGGGGTATGGCATTGGTAATCCCACCTCAGGATGGGCGTCTACATCTATTCTGGAAATTCAAGAAATGTGTCCTCAATATTAAAAAGGGGGTTGGGGCACCGTGCTAGTGCTTCCATACAGGACCTGTGGATTGAGAGAGTATGAAGGCACTTCTCCCCAGCTACAGGAACAGGTCATTCTGATTCGATCGAAACGATTTCTTGTGGCACTCATTAGGAAACACAAAAATGAGGTAGTTATAATCTGTACATACCATAAAATGCATGAAAATGCCGCTCACTCTCAGCTTTGTTGACTAGATTTAATGTGAATGTACACTGATTCCAATACTTTCAACTAACAAACACAACAATCAAGATGTACACAACTGAACCAAAAATCATGGATATTCATAATAATTATTATTTAAAATAATAATTGTAAAGAATACTTCACGTTATGCACACTATTTCAGTTGACTGTACCTGTTCTTTTAGAATTCAATAAATTCTGAGTGTGAAAAAGGTGTAGTGGATGCTCTACTGTAATCTCGCTTGCATTTTTTGGCACTATTGCCATCACATTTAGATTTAGATTTTGCACCTCTTCCGCAACACAGTGTTTTCTTCTCATCCTCACCAATCGCAGTATTTTTTTCAATTAGAAAATTGACCGTCTATGACGATTGATGACTAACCAACACAATGCTATGACAAAAAATGTGTTGCGCAGTTTATTGCTTGTACACGCACGCACGCCTGCACACACCACATACACACACACACGCACAAGAGGGTGCATAGATGTATCTTGGTTCGGGCCTGTTTTAGCGATTGGTATTATCTAGTATTATCAGTTCGACATCTCCAGCAGGACAACAACCGAGCTGAGATGTCGTTCGACCCTGGCACGACAGACTGTTAGCAGGCTAGAACACATTTGGAAATGCAAAAATATATCGAAAGGCATTTTAAAGTTACGACTGCTGCAGACAACCGCGTTTTCCGCTGCCAGTTATGGCTCGAAGGCATTGGCACTAACAAAGGGAGAGAAAGACAGCTTGCATGCGTTTGAAATGTGGTGTTATCGCCGGTTGGTGAGAGTGAACAGACAACAAACATGGATATCTTGGAGGAATTGGGCATGGAGAGACCAGTGTCAGCGTATAGAATCTACGGCAGGAAACTCCGGTATTACGGACATATCGCGAAAAGATGTAGCCTGGAAAATGATCTAGTGGTTAGCATGGTGTTAACAACAAGAAAGACCAACGAACAAATGAACGGGACAGCGTAAAGAAGGCAAATAGAGCAGGCAAGATATTACCGTACAGGTGAGGGGAACCGCTGGACAGAGACAAGGACGGAATGGCGCGACATTGTTGCCACAGCTACCCGAGTGGGTTAATGATGATGATGACGATGATTATCAGTAAATAGCACCCCTGACAGAGTCCAACTAAACGTCTCAGGTTTGTTATAGTCTAATTTGGTTTGAAACAAGTTAGAATTCTGATGGTGACAAGGAACGTGCTCTTCAAACGAGTTCCCTGTTCAACTGTCTAAACTTTTCAATGTGCATTTATTCGTTAAGAGAGGCGGAAAGTTAGGTACACTTACAAGTTACAATTAATTTATTTGTAGTTAGTAGCATGAATTTCAGGACGATTGAGTCAGTACTAGTATTAGAACCCCCAGGGTAAAAAAAAGGGACCTGCATCGTTCACGTGTATTTGGCCAAATTTACATACTCAGTCTCCGTAGCCCTAATGGCTTCTGCGACGTGCAGAAATGGTGTAGCCGCTTCCCCGGGAATCAGATCTTCCTATGCCACGATTCCCCATTCCACTTTGACAAGTCTGTTGAAAGGCCAATGTCGATGTGCCTGTTGAAGAGATGTCTAGGTGATGATCTGCATCGACAGCTTGATCTTTGTGTACTCACCGATGTCATTCTGGAAAGTGTTTCTCTTGTCAATGCTTGTAAAGATGATAACAGTGTGGTCAGCGGTCGAAAGACAAGTACCATTCACCGATGTCAAGATTTTAACCACCGGTTCTGTCACCAGCGTTCATCTTACAGACATTCATACAGGCCGTACAATCCCCCTAGCACCCTGCTACGAGGCATTCACTAGCACAGTGATTCACATGCTGCGTACAGGTACAGGCTATGCTAGTGAAGTCGATACAAAAGTACGCAACACGCTCCAAAATTGATCATAAAGAGACCGTCACTTACGCGGACAGGAGTTGAGACGAAGGGAAATAGACACAGGGAGAAACTGTGAGTAACAGAGAGAGAAACAGAGGAAGAGTTCGCCTACACTCCTTGCTACACCATGGTTAAATTCACTGTGGGATTTGCTACTATTGCTGCTGTTGTTCTCTTGACCCACTGCTGTCACGTGACCGGTAAGTACTCCAAAGTAATAGTAGTTCATTTCCGAACAGAACGCGAGCGGAGTAATCTGAACAAGCATGCGGTTTAATTAAAATGGTATTTAACTCATTCTCATGCATATGCTGTAGTAGGTCATACTCTATGCCATCGTTACCCCAGCACTCCACGATTTTTAAGCTTTCTTACTTGCTGGTTAGATTTTGTAAGATTTGGATGGTTCCAGTCATGGGCCATAGTGGAAATAAAGAGGAAGAATCTGCAATCCTGTAAGAATCGCTGACATAGGCAACATTGTAAACTAGAATCAGTTATCGATATCCAGTCAATACTTTCCCGACGCAGTTTTGGGCCAATACAGTACTCTATTTCCATGCGTTGCACACGTGATCACCGTGTCACGTGTGCACTGTCTGTACGGCGACATCACTCTATCGCCGAATCGCGTTATTGAGAGCGGAAAGGAGGAAGGAGCAGTACTCCCACGTAATATCTTACATCAGATGCCGTCTCTCATTTGCCCTGTTGCGATCATGCATCATGTGTTTGCGGGGTTCACGGGGTCTTTTCCGTGAGCGATCAGTTCGGCATCCGGAGTCTGCTGAGCTGGTTGTTGCTGAGGCCCAGGTTGCTCGCATGTGAGAATCTATAAATCGCAGCAGATTATTTTTATTATAAATACTGGACATGGATATTGAATTAAACTGTACTCAGTGACTTTTTACATTTTACAGGCTACGTTTCATTATTATTAGTATTGTAAAGCTTTCCTTTTGATCTTGTCTCTTATTGTTGTGACCTTTCCACAATAATTGTGTTGCATTGTCAAAAAAACAAAACAAAAAAAACTGTCTGTGCAGGTACTGGTGATAGCTGTATGGTGAGGAGAATGCTGAAGGCTGGTATTGCACAGAGCAAAGCACTGCAGTACGAGCAACGCGCTCTCCTCGCTACGATGTCGGAGGATGTGATAAGTAGCGCTGACGTCGGTCTTCTGAAGTTTGTCTTGCAGTCTACAAGAGCTGATGCTCAAGCAATTCAGAAATGTATACGTGAGTTATGGTTTGCGACTTGGAAATCGGGTAGTGAGTCAATGAAATCATGGATAAGGGGAAGAACAAGGAATGTCGCGGCACTCTCTGTTGTGTGTGTACGGGAGTTTGCATGTGTATGCGTGTGTGTGTCCTTGTCTGTTGACTGAGTGGGTGTGTGTATTTTTGTGTGCTTGTGCGTGTTTTTATGGATGTGCATTTGTTAGCACGCGTATGCTTATGGTCATATACCTGTGTCTGTGTTCGTTTCCGGGTAATATTCTCATAGTTGCTTGGGAATCGAGGCCTTCCGCATCAGACTTTTCATTGCTTCAAGCCAAAACATTAATTTTGTTCAATTGTGTGAAAATAAAATAAAATCATAAATTTGCAAGTCCGTCAATTCCAATGCTCCAATTTATGTACATTTACGTTTTCTGTTTCACCTTTATAATGGGCCAGGCCCGAAACTTAATTTTGAGAACATTTCAAATAATGTATGGAGCAAAGAGACCGTGTTTCAGTATTGAAGTTGAGGATCCCTGATATGCAAATGTCTGCAATGGAGTCTGCGAGTACTTAGAAAAGCACATCAACTGTCCTCATGACCAGTGTCACATGAACCACTCCACGGATCAAAATGTACTAGTCATTGACTTCACGGATCCATAATTATGTACTTGTCAATGACTCATGCCATGATTTTCCTGTTCCAATACGGGCTATATACGGCCTTCTTGTTCACAGTTCAACAGTCTGACGTTTGCAAGACCTACTCGCCCTGTCTCAATGGTGGTCAGTGTCAGTTGTCACTGTCCAATACGTCATACGTATGCAAGTGTCATCCTGACTTCACTGGGGATTACTGTCAGACGCGTAAGTGCAAACGTTTTCATGCTATGCGGAGCTCATTCAGTTTTATTCGTGTGGCAAATGCCTATTCGCCTTTTTCATGACAGGTGAAGAGAGCTTGTGACACGATTAATACTAACTTAGATGCGTAGTTCGAAGTGTGGGTTTTTTACCCCGAAGGTGTTGGTTTATCTCAGTACTTGTGAAACGTGCTTTGACTAGTATTTTACCTCTTAGCTCTCATCGTTTCGCACTGAATTTGCACTTCTGTACTTCGCGGCATTTCGAGTATTTATTTTTTGATCATCTAGCCTTGCGGGAACAACCCTTCTGATGAGATGGAACGAACATGTTGAAGGATACGGAACCTTAGTCAATGGTGTGCGTGTGTGTTCAATGCGCAACTCGCCTTACTTGTTGCCTACCTCAAGTCGATCTCTTCATCAGGGAGATTATCGGACGGTGCACCGTTCCTTCTGGTGGAAATCTACCTTCATTTCAGTTGTCTGACCAGTTCAGGACAACTTTAGCGCTGTGTCCCTCCAGATAGCTGGATCCTATTTTGCGAAAAGGGGACATTATGCACTTAATCGCACTATGACGAAGAGGTTGGTGCGACTCCGGTGATACACTTGGGAATTACGTGTCGTCCCCTACAAAGTATCTCGCTTTTTGTCCTGTATATTTGAATTGGCACTTGACTGACTCACCACTGCCATCCAGAGCACATGAGAAGTTGAGGTTACGCTTGTGGGTATTTTGCCCGTACAAGAGGCTAAGGTACGCTGAAAGGGATAAGTCCATCGAACCTTCCAATATGCAACACACGCCATACACAATTCCTAACTCTGGTCGTTTGTAATCATTGTTTCTTTTCGGTGCAGCGCATCCTGCTCCGTTAGATGAGTTCAGAAGTCTACAGAATGAAGTTAAAGAGCTACGAAAGCAACTGGCAGACACTCAAAGCAGAACTCAGGTAAGTCAGTAGGTGATGGAGTAATGCATTCAACACTCGTGTGTACTGTCATTGCTGGCTGACCAGAGTGGGGACCCGAGAGAGAGAGAGAGAGAGGGAGACTGAGGGAGAGAAAGAGAGCAGCAGAGACTGAAGGAAGAGAATGCTAGAGACAGAGAGAGACGTACACAGAGACTCAGAGTGAGAGTGATACATAGAGAGACAAAACGAACGAGAGAGAGAAAGAGAGAGGCCCACGGGCGAAGTTGGGGTGAACGGTAAAATGCTAACCATGTCGACTAACGCTGTCAAACGTATGACTTTCATAGGTAAGTGCATAACAGGGAGGGCCTTATGGCTTGTTTGTACCTTTCAGGTTAGCCTCTGGTCCTAAGGCTAACCTGTCGGACAATAACACGCCATGAGGCCCTCCCTGCCATGCACTGACCA